CTGATAAATTGGATGATACTCCGAGAAGTATTTCTCTACCAAAGTGCAGGGAGCATCCAAGTATAGATGAACTTTGAGTCGCTTTCTTATTAGGTGTAGAGAATTGAAATCTGCTCTTTGTACGAATGACTTGGCTAGGAACCAGTCCTTCCCGTCTATTGGAGTGTGGACTTTGGAGTCTGGTGTGGAGTCCATTTGAATAGCGACGGGATTTAGGCGTTTTATTCCAAGCTCTGCTTCGACGACAGCAAAGAAAGCTATCGGCGAAGTCATTTGTAAAACAGTGTGGTTGAATTTGACGTCACGTAGTAAAGCCTCTGGCATCTTAACACCGTCAAGTTCAGGATAAATGTTGACATAAATATCGCCATTGTCGATAGCCTATGAGACAATCAATCAAGCAAGCACGTAAACCATCAGTAATTATATCAGTATATTGATAAATGGATCAATCATTCTCAAAGTATAACTATCATTGGCAACTAATCAATCTTACTTTATTGTTTATTCAGTAGACATAATAAAATTGTAGTTGTCCGACGGGCGGTACGTTTCGATGTTGTTGACGTCATTGTCGAAGAATTAGCAAACAAAGAACAACTTATGGTTAGATTGATGTAATACTTTTCAGTTGTGCTTAATTCAGCAAAGCAAGCAAACTTAAGACTAAGAAATCACAGCGCAAGATGACTGAGTTCTGGTTGTGTTCAGTGCATGACTCTCGAGAACGAGGTCGATACATTTGTATCTCATGTACGAGTAATGANGGCGAAGCCCGAATCCAGGCGAAAACCTAGCGGGCATGTTTTTGCGAATTCGCTCAGATATATTCAGAAGTATTCCACGGTATTTTTTGTCCGTTAATTCGTGGCCATGATGGCCCCTGATAAATTTTGTCAAAATGCCCGTCGTATGTCCCTGTTTATAGCTGTTACTAAAAGTGTCCTCTGTTGGTTTTTGGTTTCAGTATAGTCGGCTAGAAATGGAAACGCCATCATTTCTACTAAAATAGGTACTTATATTCTAGTTTTGACAGTGTCCTTTTTCCATTGTCGGACTCTTAAAATTTTTTCACCATGTTGATTTACCTTCTTTATTTGTTACACGCCACAGTTGATATGGATTAACGCCTGCAACCCGCTGATCTGCAAAACAGCGGTCTTTGAAAAAGTTCTCTTCGATGGCTGGCACAAGTCTTAAAGCACTCATGGCACTCCTTTTCTATAACGAAATGTAAAATGAATCATATTAAAGGCACTGAACGCAAGACTGAACGTAAGACTACCTGCATAATACCTCACGCCTCTGCCAAATTTTTTAGCGCATTTGGTAAAATACTGCGTTAGTATGGGGCTGGACACGAATTTGTCAGAATTGTCAAATGGAACATCACAGTCGATATGAGAGGATGCTTAATAACGATGACAGCTCTGGTTTCAGAGAGGCTTAGAAAAAAGCTATTAAAAATCGGTATATTGTTTGTAGGACGTTCTTTCCAAAAAAAGACGGCCCCTTGTTATCTTAAATGTTGTTACAATCCTACTGAAAATTCCATCGTTATAGACACTGCAACATCAAATGTTGAAGATAATGAATTTGTAAATTACCTTAGCAACGTCTGCGAATAATTACTGATTAAATAATGATTAAAAGAAATCGAGTGTATACTGAATTATTATATTGCTTTAGTTAATGATACCCTGTGTTCTTTGTAGAAAGTCTCAAATACCACGGCAAAATCAATCAATGTTGGCGTTTCATGAAAGCGAGGATCTTTTAGGGTGAAGTGTGACTCCAGATCTTTGTTAACATCAGCGTTATCTGTCATTTTCATGTACCACTCTATAGTGAAAGGATCTGTGGAAGCACTCTGGACAAAACTTGCTGCTCCTTTTTTCGACAACGTTGGTACCATCAAGTCTTCTGATCTACTTAAAGAAATCAAAATGAAACATATCCTTTCACGATTGCATGCAGCCCCTCTAGCTACCTTGGAAAAGTTTTTTAAAAGGCCAGAGAAAATAGCTTTCACCACAACTGAACATTTCATGCGCTGTTTTAACATGATGTTTCCACTTGTCAGCTGACGCATCAAAGTTAGCAGCTTGTTTAGAAACCAATTGCAATGTAATTACTTTACAGTATGAGTAGTTGAAATTTTCACGCTTGTTTAAATAAATATCAAGAATCATTCTTTCAGTGGCATGATAAAGACTAGCTTATTTATGTTGGAGCAATTGTGTCAGTGTAATGACTTACTTTGAGTAGCGATTGTCTTTAAAAGAAGTCAAGCGGATAAGTGTTTTCTTTATCTGTCTGCTGAGTTCTCGTTTCACAAGACACTGAGGAGACGAGAAGCGAGGAAGGCTTATCCGACACTTAAGTTCTGCAAAAATGAAAGGTGAAACAATTCACGGTTTTTGAACCGGAGTGTCAATATTCCTTTTTATTTCGCCTCCAGAAGATGATAAGATATAAATTAATACACGATATCATGAAAGAGTTTAATTTAATTAACTACAAGCAGCCCCGGCATTATGAGATCACTTTAGAAATAATTTTCGAACTTCTCCAAAACAAAAATTAAGAACACTAACCCACATGTAGATTACAATGAGTTGGTTCATTGGTTGTTCCCCATTGGTCTCGAGTGTAGGGCAATCATTGAGCAGGACTGAGTAAACTCGTTGGGAACGCGAAGGGAATTATGGGAAAGAAGAAGAATAGAGGGAGGCAGAGACTCTATTCCTCCACCCCATCACCTATCGTACTCGCACCAGTACTTCCCTTCCCTACTTCAAAAGACAACTAGGGTCAACACTGTTACATTGTAGCGACCGTAGCATAGACCATAGGTGCTTAACATTGAATCTTTGGGGGTACGAAAGCTGACCAAAAGAGTGTTGAATAATCTTTCAGACAAAAATCCGAAAACGTTTACCATTACTTGTATTAAAGAAAACAAATTGTTTCGGTTCGCTAAAGGCTTTAAAAGGCCCCCATACGGGCCTCTGAGAGATACTAATATTGGAAGATGTCTTGATGACTCCAAATCTAGAGATGATAAGAGTCTTGAACACTTTTCATACCCTCCTGCCCAGGTACATTTGGCACACGTTACTTTATCTACCATGCATGGACTGACTTAGAAATACTATGACTGCTACCAGGAACATACATACCATTACATGTTATTCCACCGAAATCATCGGCGCATTGGCATTGATATCCATCAATAAGATTATAGTTTTGTACACAGATTCCTCCATTTTGGCACGGGTTTGGCTCGCATTTATTTTCTTCTACATTCTTTATCATTGGAACAGTAGACTCGGACGATTCTTT